AATGATTAAAATCCCTGGTGTCTGTTTCAGATAGAGTTGCACCACCCAATTTTTCATCATCATTAATCATGGCATTGAAATCCCCACAGAGCAGCCAAGGTAAACTCCCAAAAGCTTGTTGTATCTGGGATAAATCTGACCACAATGACTTTCTCCCATCAGAATGATTGAAACCATAAACAGAGGATATAACACAATTAAGTCTTCCATCCAGATATTTAACTGCACAGGTAACATGTTGAGCTGAAGAGCCAATGATATGCACATCCAAAACATTTGGATCCCACAGTATCATAATTCTGGCTTTATCTGAGCTATTTGCATTAGAGACCCACTTCCAATTAATTGCAATCTTATTAGCTATAGCCTGAACTTTACTCAGCTTTAATTTTGTTTCCAGTAGACCTAAGAAAGAAAGATGATATTGCATAAGGTGTTTCTTAACCAAATGCTGTTTAGGGGATTTATTTAATCCCCTAACATTCCAAAAAGATAGGTTCATAAATTTTCACCCCCTCTATCAATTGTTGAGGGGTCCAATACAGAAATCAAGTTAGTAAGAGGAGTAAAGGGGTTGACTCCTTTACTTTTATTTCTGTGAACTTGAGGCCATGAACTACCAGGGAGCATTGTTTCTTTCCCTTTGTTAAAATTCAAAACAGGCTGAACGTGCACAACATGCACAACACTGTTAGCATCAGCTGCAATGACTACTTCGTTTGTATTTTTAGACAGAACTTCAGCTCCAGAATTCACAGAGGAGGTAACAACTTTCCCAAGAAGCTGATTCCTATCAACAGGATTTGCACCTTTATCCAGGATCTCAGATATCTGATCAGCTGCCTGTTTGGAAGAAGTATCAGTTTGAGTCATACTTTCCTTTTGCTTTGGGATCCATTTTTGTAATGGATAAAACTTTTTACAGAATTTAGTATCATGCCCAACATTCTTACAGTGATCACACCATCTAGGCTTAAGTTCATAAAACACTTTCTGAACATATTGTGAACCATCAGGCCCTTGAATAGCAATCTGATCTGGGAGAGGAGAGGGCATTTTCACTTCAACAAGAACTCTGGCGTACGCCAGTCTTTGCATATTGGCAGTTAGCATATCAGTAGCTATAGGACGACCAATAATGCTAGATATTTTACTGATCCCCTTAGCATTCCATAAATTCAGTTTTAGAGCTGGTAGCTGAATCCATAATGGATAGATGCAATCATTTAACTTTTCAAAATCATCACCCACAGACCAAGGTTTCAACAACATAGGACGAGAACCAAAGAACCAAGGACCAGATAAAAGAATATTATTCATATCATCTTTGTTTTTAAATTTAAAAAGGAACACCCCAGCTTTAAGAAGGCTAATTTCAGGCTTTGCCAGAGGAGCCCCGATTTTTTGAATGAATCCTTCCATTGCTTTAAATTTAACATTCAAGCCCATCACCTGTCCTACAAGAGAAAATTGCCAGGTAGAAATCCCCTCATTCCACTCTTCTTCATTAAAAGAAACCATATCATTTGACACAGGAGGGATATAGTTCAAATTTAAACCACTACCCTGCTTCCTGTTATCAACAAAAAAACTGACCCAGCTTCTTTTGGGATTCTCATTTAGGTTATTGAGAACCGGAGATTGAGCATTAGGGATTTTATCATCCAGTCTACCAGATTCCAAGTTGATAACATCATCTTGATTTTTTGAAATCAATGGAACAATATCATTACTCGAGTTCAAATTTGTAAACAATGGAGTAGATCTATTATCAGGACACAAATTAGAAATCAACGGAGAATGATCCACAGAAAGAGGATTAGATGAGTCCAATCCAAGATCTAGTTCATCAGCCCAAGATACCCTGGATGAAGTTCCTGCACCAGAAATGGGAGATTTACTCAGACTACGAACCTGAACCCCAGCTAAATTTGCTTCACATGGAGGAATACAGGATTCAAGAATTTCTTCCATTGACTTCTTCTTCTTTTCACCTTTTGGACCCGTGGAACCCATTATACTTGAAGAACTATCACCATCATCATTAGATCTAAGCTCAAATTGCCCATCGGGAGAGAGCAAACTCGAGTTAGATGCTCGGAGACCAATGTTGAATAACTTTCTTCCACTATTCTTCTTCCCCATTAGATCTCGGCAGTGGCGCAGATTAGCAGAGAAATAATCGCCTGCTAAAATGAGCCATCAGAGCTACCACAGGAGGCAAGCTACTGCTGTACCATTTTAAAGTCAATGTTGCTACAATGCTTTTAGTTGGCAAGCTACTGTTGTACCACATATATAACAAATCTTGCACAGTCCACCCAAATCAATGATGATCTTGACATAGAAGTTGAAAGAACTAAAAATTAACTATTTCCATGCATTTCGTAAAATATTTTTGTCACAGATCTCTCTCTATATCTTTACACATTCTACTTTACTCCTTTTTGTCCACATTTTTCTAGGACTAAATTTTAAGAATTTCCAAACACAATCCTTTCTTGCGGGCTCGACATTTTTACTATACTATAGCTTGATAGTTGTTCTCTAATGACTTTTGTGCATGTTTTATGCCCCTATCACGAGGTTTGGTTAAGACTCTTGCATTTTTTTTAATAAGCTCTATTGAAAGAGGAGGAAAGAAAAAGGGGAAAAAAAGAAACAAGTCTCAGATTAACTTCCTTGTTGTAGCAAGTGTGAAAACCAATTTCATCCTTTTACAACACGAATCGAACGACCCCTAGGGTAGATCCGAAAAGGGAAATTGTTTCGTTTACGAGTGACCTCCATTAGTAAAATACCATATCCCTACTGTCATAATAAGGTCGGGTCGAGGATAAGTATGAGATCTTTGGATGGAGGGTAGAGAAGGGAAGGGGAAAGGAAATTTTGGTTTAGTTTTGTTTGGGAGTTCCATTTAGAAGGATAGAGAAGAGGAACGAGGGAGAAATTGAACTAAAATCTTACCCCCCAAATTTGGAGGGCCGGGTTAAAGAAGGAGAAGGAAAGGAAGGGAAAAAGTTTCCCTTTTGAGTAATTCATCTAAAACGTACCTGAGCTATTCATTTGGAAAGTGTTAAGGTGTTTTGTGATGTTTATCCTACTCATTTCCTCTATAAATACAGAGCAGCTAGCAGTAACGTTCTTAGCATCCTTCAACCAAACATAATGGCTACTTCTCCCCTCCCCTTCCCTGTTGTTTCCCTCATCCTTTTCTTCTCTCTCCCCCCTCTGTCCTTTGCGCCACAGAATTACTACAACTTTCTCCTTCTCCTGTCACTCCAAAAACTGCAGCAGCACTTTCAGCTACTGCCGACCTGAAGCGTCCCGCAACAAAAAAACCTCTCCCTCCGGCCCTTCCTCTCAAACTCTAAACTCACAATTCCCCCCTCGAGCTCTCATCACGACCTGCCGGACAACATGGAAATCCATGGTTCCAGGCACGAGATCAGGTTGAGAAAGTTACGTATGTGGCTGTCCTTCTATCACGAGGAGATTGACGAGGAGCAAAGCGACGTATGTGGCCTGTCTGTTATCACGGCAGGAATGACGAGAGAAAATACGTTTGTTGGCCCGTCCTTTGATCACTGAGGCAGATGCAGAGAGAAAATGCTCAGAAAAACAGTTACTTGCCTGCATGAGGTTTTCGCCTCATGGACGACACTCCAGCCCCATCTGGCTTCAGCGGAGCGGCGATTTGAAGCAGCGCAATGTTTTTTTTTTTCACTATGCCTTTTTGTAGCACGATTTCAGAGGGCTGTCCCAAGGTTCCAGATTTTGTGCCGAGGTGTCGCCAGCAAGATGCCCTTTCACCTCCGCGGACGCACCGTAAAAAGTATGTTCCACGTATCCAATCGCGACGAGCAAGGGCATGGAAAAGACGTGAAGCTTCTGCAACCTTAGGGCGTGACTTCCCCTGATGAGCAGAAGAAGTGGCCATCTCGTCGCAGCAGAGGCATATGATCGACTACGTCATCGGACTCTCGGTCTGATAACATCGAGGCGAGGAGCACGGGCATACTAGAGGTATATATAGTGATGTTTTTTTACACGGAAGGAATGCTACAAGATAAATGATGATAACTAGATAGCTGAGGAGGAAATATGGAATTATTTTTTCATGTTTTCTGGCACTACTTTATCATTCAATGATAGCCTACTATTCGGTAATTTACTAGCAAACACTTAATTTAATCTACACTTGGAATTTTCACCAAACAGGGTGTGGCCCGAGCGCGACATCTTGATCGGGCGATCTCAAGCCGTTGTTGAACGCGAGCGTAAGGTTTCCGGATGTGCTGACTTGCCACCAGATGCAGTTCCCTTACTTGGTTCACTACTGGTCATGCATTGCGAAAACTAGAGTTGTATGAGGTGCGAGATATTGGATGCCGCTGACAAAGGAGAGTGTAACCACGCTGATAGCTACCTGCCATATGATCTCCATGGGGAACCCCGCAGACGCCGCCGCCTCCAAGATGCTCGAATCTGAGCCTGGCAACATTGTAGTCTGCCACTTCATCTCGCCATGGGACATGGTGTGGACCGCCGCTGCTGAGGCTTGATGTGTGGTGTGCTTGTGTTCTTGCATGCATGCGTGCATCCATGTGGGTGTGGTCATGCATGCATGCATGCGTATATGCGCTATATTGAGCTCTATGTGATGTGTGTGTCGTCCTGAGAGAGTGACTGCGTGTGGACGAGTCTAGTGGTATGTATCATGTGTGGTCATGCGTGCATACATGTATGCATGCATGCAATGTTGTAACCCGTTTCTGGTGTCTCTATCTTGTTGTTGAAATAATATGCACATCATGAATTTGCTGCCACCGCTTTTCAGTACTCTACCCATTCAGTATCGAAAATGGTCATATTAAACGCAAAATCGTTACCATTACCGTATTCTTTGTGAATTGATACGTTTCAATTCAAACGTGCGGTAGCGCGGGAGCCAAAAGAGGAGAAACTAACGGTCAACCAACAGAAATCCAAAAGCTCTCAAACACCCAACAACTCCGTTCCCTAATCCACAAACACATCAAAATCCCACCGACACATAAATTTAAAAAAAAAACGAAAAAAAATAGGGGGAGAAAGAAGAATCTACAGAGGAAAAATAGATCAAGAGGAGGGAGGAATGGGAGGCTGCTACTCCTCCCAATCCTCCAACCTCTCTGACGAGTCCAAGAGCCGCCGCTGCCTCCCCTCCATCTCCTCCTCTGACCACGTCGACAACCTCGATGACATTGAGTGCATCGACCTCGTCGCTGCTGCCGCCAAACCCTACTCCACCTCCATCCTCAGAAACCCTTCCTCCGGCGAAGAATTCCTCTGCAGGTACTGTCCTGAAATCACTTGAGAATTATCTGATTAGACATGAGCGTGCTTTGCAAAGCAGTTTTATTTTTATTTTATTTTATTTTTTTGGTGAAAGTATTATCTTTGAAGTTTGTTTTTTTTCTAACTGTTTAGTAATTTAGCAATAAGTTAGTTTCTAAGTCCTATCTAAAAAAGTTAGGATTCCTCAGTTTTTTAAAAAGTAGATTATAAGCTCATCTAAATTAGCTACGTCTGACCAAGTAAATGATCATTCTTTCCAAAAGCAATCGAGAACTAAGATAGCTTCAAAAGCCAACAACTACTATAGCTTAAGAGCTTTAAGCTCCCCAAATACCCCAAGCAAGTCATTCATCACGCTGCATGATCTAATAGAACATTTTCTAGGATAATAGAATGATTACATAAATAATACCCAAAAACATGTACAATCATAAAGTCTTCACTAACATATAAAGATATTAAAAATTAGTATTTGATGTGCAAGGGGCATAATAATATACTATTATGGCAGGTACCAGCTCGGGAAGGAGCTCGGCAGAGGCGAGTTCGGCGTCACGCGAAGATGCACGGATATCGAGACGGGCGAGAAGTTCGCTTGCAAGACGATATCAAAGCTTAGGCTGAAGAACTGTGTGGACGCCGCCGATGTGAGGAGGGAGGTGGAGATTATGAGGCATTTTCCGAACCATCCGAATATTGTGCAGCTTAGAGATGCTTATGAGGATGAAGAGGCTGTGCATTTGGTGATGGAGTTGTGTCAGGGAGGAGAGCTTTTTGATAGGATTGTCGCAAGGGGGCATTATACAGAGAGGGCTGCTGCTGGTGTCGCCAAGACAATCATTGAGATTGTTCAGGTGAAGAACAGAAGTAACACAAACAGATTAGTAATTAAATGCGGGGTAGTCGCACATATATCCCGTATATGCCACTTATTAGCCCTTAGTTTTTGTTATAGGACTAAGTGAGGATAGATTCCTGTTTTGAAATTACTACCTCAAATAGAACCAGGATAGCAAGAACATCAAAACAACACTAGACAGGGGGACAATCTGCAATTAAACCCTTTTTCTTGATTAGCACTTGACCCTTGCTGTCCGAATGAAATTCCTTTCGTTATCGATAATGATATTATAGGAATATATGATCAACATCTTTAAGAAAATAGGGGATCTCTACAACACACCCATGTCACCTTACACATAGTTTGGAATCTAGGGATCAAAATGCTACTAAAAGAGCTTTGGGGGTAAAAATTGTTTATCCCCAATATTATAAGGGCGTCTGATGGGAAGCGAGCAGAGGGTTTCGATCTAAGTATGCAACCATCCTTCAAAGAACAATGAGCTTTCAGCCATGGTTGTTTGGTATCATGTCAAACAACTAGTATAACAGGAAAGCATTATTAAACACTAGCTTTGTGTCTCAAACAAGGTAAATGTTAACTGATGATATTTATGATGGAGTTTTTTTTTTAGAAAAGACATTTTTTGCTAAATAATTAGCAAAACCGACCGTTTTGCTAATTATTAAACAAAAACGACCACTTTTTGGCTAACATTGGTCGCTTTTAAAAAACTGTTTATTCGAAACATATGAGACTAGCAGTACCGTATGTTTAGTCGTCATTAATTGGCGACTAATAGCACCTAGCAAACCTACGGGACCAGTAATCTCGTAGGTTTTGGGTGTGCTTCAGAAAACCAAGCAGATCGGCCACCTTCGCCACGATCTGAGCAGATCCAATTGCATCAGGAGACAACCTCTCATGCCCCAATCCAACCCTATCCAATATCTCCCTTTTCCTCGCCGCCTACGCTCGGTACTCGCTCACCTTGGTCCGCGGATCTCCGGCAACGATCGATGCAGCTCAAGACCTTGATTTGGACAGCGACGCGATGGAGTGGAGGTAAGCTACGGTGCGAGGGGTGAAGTCGAAGTCGAAGTCGAGGACTTGGTGGCCGACGGAATCGAAGTGGGAGGCGAGGAAGGAGTTGATCTCGGCGATGCGGGCCCGGCCTAATGGGCTCTTCTATAGCCTATAATAGCAATCTGTCGGCAATAATAATAAGAAAAACAATGTGGATTTTAAAACCTACGGGACTAGTAGTCCCGTAGATTTTCTGGGTGCTATTAGCCACCAATTAATGGCGACTAAACATATGGGACCAGCAGTCCCGTATGTTTCGAATATGCAGTTTTTTTAAAAACGACCTTTTTTTGGCGTGTTGGCCAAAAAGAGGTTGTTTTTGCTAAATAATTAGCAAGACGATCGGTTTTGCTAATTATTTAGCAAAAAAATATCTTTTTTAAAAAAATCTCTTATTTATGATTTGAGCAAACGTTCATGAGCAACGTAAGGTGATGATGTTTCTGTCTTATGAACTCTTAAATCTTCGATTTTAATTTGAAGTGGATTGGCATTTTGTTGGTTTGCGTTGACTAAGTTTAGTAGCAAACACAACAACAACAAAGCTTTTATCCTCAATTTTCGGAAGTTAGCTACATGAATCATATTCCTTCATTCAAATCTATGATGAGTCTTTTCCCCGTTAAGCTAATTGTTGTCAAGTCATCTTGATTGCTTTCAATCAAGTTCTTTTAGGTCTACCTGGTGCTCTTTGCCATCATTAACTATGATTTTATCACTTCTTTGAATGGTGCATTAAGTGGCCTCTATTGTATACTAAACTACCTCAATTGATCGCCTCATTTTATCCTCAATTGGAGTAACTCTAATCCGTTATGACTACACTATTAATCTCATTTATTATCCTATCTTTTAGTGTATACCAAGAACATCATAACATTCTCCACACTCAATTTTGCACATGTTTTTTAAATCACCAAGATTCCGATCCATAAAACATTGTTGGTCTTATAAGTGTCCTATAGAATCTTCTCTTCAATCTTATTGGTATTCTACGTTCACATAAGACTCCAGAAGCACTCCACCATTTTAACCATCTAGATTTGATTGGATGAACAACATCAATCTCAATGTCATGATTTGATTCAATGAATAACATCATCCTAAATATTGCAAAAAAAAAAATCCTAATAAAAAAATGACTCGTAACGTTGAGTTGTTATATAACATAATCTGCAGTTTGGTGATTCATGATCCAAATGGTAAACGGCTGATCAGAAATATAAGCATATGGACCAACAATATCTATATAACTCAAAAGGGAAGGAGCCGCAGCTCAGAAACAAATAAACATCTTTTATGTAAGTCACATGTCAAACGTTAAATACCGTCAGACCAAGAAGAGGAAGAGTTCTGGTTGAATTTGTATACTCACGTTTGAGAGTTTATTTGTTCTTTCCATGATTGAAGGCTAAATTATTTCAAACAATTGTTGGGATATAGTTGCTGAGCTTAAAAGCTTCAAGCAACTTAATGTTTTTCCAATTTATCGTGCAGCTATGTCACAAGCATGGGGTAATCCACAGAGACCTGAAGCCAGAGAATTTCTTATTTGCAAATGAATCAGAAACTGCTCCCCTAAAGGCAATTGATTTTGGTCTCTCTGCGTTCTTCGAGCCTGGTACGACCACAGGATACTAATTCTACATTTATATATGAACACAAGCTAATTATTTCTTGCTGTTATGTGTGCCCTTTCTCCAGAGGTCCTGAAACGAAACTATGGACCAGAGGCAGATGTGTGGAGTGCAGGTGTGATTCTCTACATATTGTTGTGTGGCGTCCCACCATTTTGGGCAGGTAAATACACATCTCTATACGAAATGAATATCGATAGTTTTGTTTTCCCACAAAAGATGCTGAAACATATAGATTAAAGTCGTATGTTTTTCTGTAACTAATGCAGAAACTGATGAGGGGATTGCACAGGCAATTATTCAATCAGTAATTGATTTTGATAGGGAGCCTTGGCCGAAGGTATCTGAAAATGCAAAGGATCTTGTGAGACATATGCTTGACCCTAATCCCTCCAGCCGGTTAACTGCTCAGGAAGTCCTTGGTACTAATCTCTTTTACTATTTAAACTAAAAGGTCATATAAGTTGCTGATCATGAAAAATATGAAACTTTAGCATTTATGTGAAAATGCACTGATTGCAGTGTATAACTTCAGAATTGAAACTTCAACTTACTATTTGTGTTGCTTGTTGTACGAAGAACATCCTTGGATGCAAAATGCCAGTACAGCTCCGGATATTCCACTTGGAGACACTGTCAGATGTAGATTACAGCAGTTCTCGGTTATGAACAAGTTTAAGAAGAAAGCCCTGAGAGTACTCAGAACATTCATAAGACTTCAGACTCTTATACCCTTGAGTACCTTGCTTTTCTGATGCTGACAAAAAGATATTGTTCTCTTAGGTGGTGGCTGGGCAGTTACCTATGGAGGAAGTGGCCTGCATCAAGCAGGTGTTTGACCTGATGGACACTGACAAAAACGGAAATTTAACGCTGGAAGAACTCAAAGAGGGACTCCAATACATTGGATCAACTGTTGATGAACCAGATGCTCAGATGTTACTGGAAGCAGTAAGCGATTTTTCTATCTTGCCCTTGTCTCTTCAGAGTTGCGTGCTTTCTTTCTTCTCCGAGTCTTTAGTAAGCCAGCCACCATGCATTTTTCCAGGAAAAATAATAGGAAATTTGGGATGAAAATATCTTCATTTTGAAAACTTCTACCCGCTTTTCTGAAATAATACCTATTTAAACTAGAAGGATAAATTACATCCGGGTTCCTTGAGACATGGTGCATTATACAGATGATCATGGAGTCTACAAATCTACACAGGTAATCTTGATATTACTATTGTATCTACATGGGTAACCCTGAGAAAGAAAATATAAAGAATCTATTGTCACCCGTGTAATTACAGTCAGTGATCTCAGGAATACCGTGTTGATATGCAAACTCTAGGTTCACTCGTGTAATTACACCGTACCACAGGGTACCTGGATGTAACTAATCCTCTAAACTAAGCACCAATGAAGGTGAACCGAGTGATATGACTACGTTTACTCTGGTTCTAAGAAGAGGAAATAACATGTGAATACAGTTCTACACTTGTCTTACGCGAAAAAAGTATGAACTTAGCGGATTGATTCTATTCATGAATTATATGGAAAAATCGATGCAAATATTATGATACTTCCTAGTCCCTTAGAAAATTTCCAAGATATATTTCTGAATTAATTATCCTTCTCCAATGTCATTAATTGCTTCTCTGGTTCTTAGCCCTTAAGCATTTTCCATTGGCAGGCGGACGTTGATGGCAACGGAACTATAGATCGTGATGAGTTTGTGACCGTCTCTGTCCACCTAAAAAAGATTAGCAGCAAAGAGCATTTGTCTGAAGCTTTCAGGTACTTTGACAAAGATGGAAGTGGATACATTGAAATAGATGAACTGAGAGAAGCTCTGGGGGAGGGGGATCTTTGTCCTAATGAGCAAGTGATCGAGGAGATCATTTCTGACATTGACGTCGACAAGGTATAGGAATCTGTTTCTTTGTCTAGTTTGATGATTCTGAACAATTGCATGAGGGAAATACTATCAGGTCTTCTATTCATTTAGACTATCCTAGTTCTAAGAAATTATGAAAAGTAGTTCATAGCTGTCTGAGCTACATTTTCATATTGCTTGGCTTTGCTGATCTGTTTGGTTTCGCATATTTTGATCTGTAGGATGGGCGGATTAGTTACCCAGAATTTCAGATGATGATGGAAGCTGGAATGGACTGGAGAAATACTTCTCGCCAGCACTCACGAGCTGCTTATAACACACTTAGTCAAAGAATGTTTAGAATTGAATCCTTTGACGAGAGCTGATATAAACATTACTATCCAAAAGATGAAAGATAAAGTCAATCCAATTCTTCATTAAGATATCTCAAGTGTATACGAACTGAGGTTCCAATTTTCTATCTTTTGTGTGTAGTTTAGTTTTATTATCTCCCTTTCTGATTCTTTCCAAGGCATGTTGGCTTTTGTTTAAGATACATTATATACCATCTGTTAGTATTGTGAAAGCCAATACGGATTTATATATTGATTAAATTATGCTCCAAAATATATACAGATCAAAGTTAACACTCTAAACCTCATACTGACCAGTAAATAAAGTTTCCTTAACCCTCTTTTATTTGTTTTTTTTTTTTGGGTATTTGTTAACATAATTAAAATTTATTTATCTATTAGAGATCCTTCTAGTTACTCCAGATTTCTGACTAAATAAACTCTAGTTAAGCTTTATTTTCTCAAGCAGCGTTACTTCGTGATAATGTTATTTGTGTTTCCTGTTTCATGCTTGAATGTGTTGGTTTCATTACAGATTTTCGTGTATGATCAGCATGCCTGTTACCTTAAGTTTCCAAATTCCTGTAATGCTAGCAAGGCTTTTGCAAGTTCTTTTTACTGCACCAGGAAAGTCCGATGTTAAAAAAATAATAACCAAATGAAAGCTGCTCTTGTCGTCGTACCTTGTCTAGGTCCAAGTTCTGCGAGGTTGGTCATAAGGAAAGCTTTTCTGAAGAGACATGAATAACTAGGGAGCACTTCCAATAGAAAGGCATGAGAAGGAATATTATATTTTCTCGAGGAAGAAGAAAAAAGGACGGGGGGTGTTGAACCTTCTTGTTCTTTCCTCCTTGTTACAGGGGTCAGAGCAATCAATATTGAGGTGCAACAGTGAGCACTGAAAGATTTTCTTTTTTCCCCCCTCAGTAAGGTACAAAGGGAGCCAAGATGACTACCATGCCTTGTGAAAAGAAAATCTCCCATTCACCTTGTCTTTTCTTTGCTGGCACTGAATTTCTCTTACTGGAAATCTACATGGCAGGTGAACCACAAAAACCTTGTACTATCATTATTTTCTATTCTTCACTTTGACTTTCCCCCATATATCTGCACAAATGTTAAGCATAATTCCTAAAATTTACATCTTTGGAATTTAAGTGAATACATCTACCCCCTCAATAGTCCCTCATTAGCTATTGACTGTAGCACAGGTTCAAAAGTCCTGTATTAGATTAACTTACTTCACGTAAAGAGTGTCGCTGGCTAATAAAAGCTGCTATTTCAGCAACATTAAAGGGTGTAAATGCTGTAAAATCTTCCAACAAGCCTTATGCACCATGGTAAACCACATCAGCGTAGGAAAATTAATGTTTTAGAGGACATGAACCATGAAATTGACGCCGCCCCCGCCCCACCCGACACCAAACCCATCCACGCGCACCCCCAACAAAAACCACAAAAAAAGAACAAAACCCATCTGTAGTAATAAAGCATAATAACTATGACGATAATAGCAATAAAACTAATGACAACAATAACAACTTATTATCTTAAGAACATCCCCAAACCAGACCTTCAGTATTAGGTCCCAATGACAATAGAACGCAATTACACTGAACAGGAGAATTTTGAAGCATAAACAAACCTGCTCGATATTAGGACATATGAATCTTTTCCTTGAAGGAGGAAAGCTGGTTATAAGTACAAGTAAAAAAGGGTTTGAAATAAATGAACACGGTCCGTTAACATAAAACAGAAATATCAATTAAGGGTGATTATTTTCATTGCCAAAATAATCTTGTAGAACTCAGGCAATTTTGCAAAGTCCTGAGAAGCCGAGGGTGAGAATTTCATGATAAAAGTTGCATATCTGACTAATAAGAATGGTTGTCAGAATAAGTTTCCAAGAACCAAAGGTTCAATTGAAGTTCACAAATTTTCTTAGAAGAGGTTGCTCCAATTGAGGATAAAATGAAAGAGAATCGACTAAGGTGGTTTAATCATGTATAACATAAACTTCTTAGCACACCGGTTAGAAAAAATAATAATATTATAGTTAATGCGGCAAATAAATCTGAAAGTAGAGGTAGACTACAAAGAATTTGGTTAGAAGCAATTTAGAAGAATATGATAATGGTTAACTTAATAGATGAGATGGCCTAGAATAGAACAAATTGGTCAGATATTTACATAATATCCGATACTTAAAACCTTGCTATAGGTAGACATAAAAACACATAGTTAGAAGCACTTAAGAAGCATATGATAATAGTTAACTTAACAAAGGAGATGGCCTAGAATAGAATAAAATGGTCAGATATTTCCATAATATCCGATATTTAAAACCTTGTTAGAGGTAGACATAAAAAAGCATAGTTAGAAGCACTTAAGAAGGATATGAAAATGCTTAATGAAGGAGATGACTTAGAAAAGGATTCATGTACTCAACCGTAAACATTTTGGGTAAAGACTTTGTTGTTGTTGTTGTTGTTGCCGTGGTGTTTCGCTTGAAAGGTAATGACCAACCAACAGAGAAAGAGTTCAGGTTTAAAAAGTATTTTAGGCTATACCATGTAAATCAGAGCTCATATTGTGAAGGTTGAATAAAAGTATTTTAGGCAACAGTTCATGACACTTTGGCAGTATATAAATTCATATAGGCAGGAAAAATATTCATTAATGATATGATACAAGTTGGTTTGTTTGATTTGCAGACATGTTTGATGGAAAAAGTTTCCTAAAATAGAGGAGGTTTAGTCACAAATTTGAGTTATCAATGATAGGAAAAACTTTACTACAAGAAGGGAATATTTAATTCAACTTATTAATAGTTAGAAGTATTTGAAACATGTCTGTTCTTCTGCACCATTTGATGATTAATGAAGCATATGTAATTTTAGGGAATGACAACTCCTTGCTTGCCTAACAGCAAGGAGATGAAGTTACCCGGGATAGGGATTCAACATTTACATGCATACTGCTAAGAACTGTTGAAAATCAAGTCTTAAGAGTACTATTAAACTGTGGGCACAGGAATCATTTTGCACGAATTTTACATGATGGAAACTCAACAGAAGAGTGACTAAGTATGTTGCCATGCCACTTTGAATTTAAAATCCAAATTTTCTGTTTCGATCCAATTCATTTTAGGTTACGTAAAGCATTAGTCAAGTTTTCTTTCAATGGTTCCGCCAACCTTAATATTTTCATCAAGTTGGAAGATCAAAATCATATAATGAGCCACATCTCTAATAATGTAAAGGTACAAGAGGATACCCAAAATTCTTTTTTGTTTTTTAATTTGCAGGATGGATTATTTCAAAAACATTATGAAAGAACAATGCCTTCGCTGATTCCCTTCTGACGGCATCAATCCCACACGCATCACATTTTATTTTTAGGTATGTGATAAGGCTTTGATATTCTACATATATGTGTTCTACCTAGGACTATATTTCAAAAGTAGCTAACTTTCCTCTTTTTTTTTCCTTTTGTTCTTCCTTTGTTGTACAAAGGAGTTCCTTTTCCATGCGGAAGTCAGCCAGGCTCGAGCCTCCTTCCTGCCACTTTTATGTATGTTCAATAAATGAAATGACAAAGGCTTAGAAGAGATCTTAGAAAAGTTCCAGACATAACAAAATAAACAATAAGATTCATAGAACTTGACAGAATATATTTCAACTGGAAAAACAAATAAAATGACAGAGTGAGAACGTGTAATGTGAACAGTACCTTTATAGAAGCTGCATCAGTTTCTAGTTATGAAGCTCCGTTGTCGCAATTACTTCCGCCATCATCATAATGTCATCTAGGCTTCTTCCATCAAAATGGCTATAAAACTGTAATTGCCAGATTTTCATTTATGTGATCATCTATTCTGTTGCAACAGATAGTTCAATATATTTGATATTTGATACATAGTTGAAGAAATAACTTTGGACATATTAGAGGTGTTGAAGTATTTCGTTGTGATAGGCAGAACTCACAGAAGATGCGGTGTTTGATAATCAGCCATCACAATTTTTGACATAACATGTAGGTATTATGAAGTTTACCTGAAACTTTGACTTCTGGTCAGTAAACTTATAAGAATACAAAAAAGTTTTCAGCTGTATCCAGCATCGAAGGTGCCTAAGCCCACCTTATGCTGTAGTCACAGTGCAGCAGTCAGCAGACAGGCTCGCAGACAACAGCTATTAACCTAAATGAATATTCATAAAACCATAACAATTCATCACAGGTAAATTCAAATTCAGCAACTTCCTTTATGCCCTCTCAAGTGTTGATACAAGATTTATCCTTTTTGACAAACTTTTCTGTTCTCTAAATGTAGTAGCCTATCCATAAGACTAGTCACTACTTAATTTTCCTTCTCACGAGTACAAATTCCCAGGACAACAAGGAGACAAACTTGGGAATCAAATATACAAGCACACTCTGGATATGCAATTCTTTTGATGCTCTATGAGAAGCTTGTATTTAATTAAACAAATCTTCCTTGCATTAAGAAGGGTGTACGATTTACTTTCCCCGGGTTGTTGAGAATCATATCACCTACCATTTCTGCCGTGCCCAATGCCTGAAATAGGTAATTAAAAAACATCAGATATTTTTTACAAATATTATGCACCATGCCATGGTAATAGCAAGGATTTATCAACCGGGTACAAAATGTAACAAATTAAGAAGTGAAACAAAACACTTCAAAAACTGACTGACTGGCACATAACCTAGACATGAAAGAAAGTTTACAATCAAATACAAACCCATTCAAGAATGCCAAGAAAATGACATGTGAATTAACCTTTTATAACTGTTATCCAGTAACTGACTGTGGAAGAATCGTAACATGAAAAAGCTCGTGATCTAAAAGCATTTTTGAAGTATGTTTAAGCAGTTACGTCTTTCTCCTTAAAGAGGAGGGTGGTCAATATTATCACATCTACAAATATTAGAACAAACTAAAGGAAAGTTAGTGGAAAGCAGGCAGATCCCCAAAAGGAAATGTGGATGTGTGCAATATTTTCCGTATATGTAGGATAAACATAGTGGTCATTGCATCAGAACACGAAATGACAAATGTACACCTTGTATCATGAGAATAATTTAAAATCCAACTCTACCAAGGAAAAGATGTATGTAATCCAGATCTTACCCACAAATTTGAAGAGTGTAATTTTGGGACACCAATAATCCTCAAATGTTTGTTGAAGCATAAGTACTCGTGTTGGACACACAAGATGCATATGCTGGCAACCAACACTTCTTAACCCTTGAACACGTTTTAAACACTTCCTATGTGTGTCCTCAATTATATACTATATTCTTTAATTTAGGACATCTCTTGGTCACTTTTCTGACACATGTTCACATTTCATCTTTACTCAATTTACATGTTTGAGATTTTTTTTTTAATTTTCATTGCTATGTCAAAGATTATGCTTTAGTGGACTTAGCACAAGTGAAATATAAAGATATACATGCACATAGAAGTTGCATAGTCAAGACTTGTTCCTCTTGCAATGATAAAAGTGCAAGGTAGAATTTTAACATTAACATATGTTGCGTGTTATTTTGTTATCAAAAATGTCTGGACTTTCAAATGCAAGAGCACATCTTTTGATGCATGTATATGTGCAGTATCTACTTATTATTTTAGATATTTTAGAAATGCAGTAGTTTTGAATCATCTTGCATTTAAAGGAGTTGAAAAATCGCATGTCCACGGCTCATATCTGTGCCCATACTTTCTATTATCGAATCTCTATTATTGGGCATTATTACTACTCATAATCATGTGAACAATCCATCACTCATGAACATAAGCTCTTTCTAAAGCATCTCTCATCCTCCCAATTACATAATAGAAACTCCTACTTAGACATTAGTAGCAATCAATGTCTTAATTTTTTGTAGAAGAAACTTTCACTCATCAACATCGTCATCATTACTAATTTAATATCCTCCAAGAATTTTTAAATAGGGTCATTCTGATCCTAAAAAGACCACCACAACAGCAGCAGCACAGTCACAAACACATGCAGACACACGCATGCACGCACCAGTTCGCCCACACAAAGAAAACAAGAAGAGAAGAAAACACCCATATAAACACACATCACACCAAATTAATTAAAAGGATCCCAAAAAGAAAAAATGAAAACTACAGAAAAAATAACTAGAATATGGAAAGGAAGGCAAACCTAGAAAGCCAGTTCGCAGGTAACCTACTATTCCAGAGTATAGGAAGGGGACTGAGAACTAAGAAAAGTATTCACAGAAGGAGATCTCATTTCATTTCAAAGAGGGTGAAAAAAACAAAAAAACAAAATAAGAAATAAACTAAGAAAATAAATATGACCAGTAACATGCATAAATATGAATGAAAACAGCTTGCTTGAAAAGAGTGTATAACCTACCAACTTGCATGTTAACGACAAATTTTCAAAACCAATCATTTTGGAACTTTATTTTTAAAAAATTGACCTATTTATCTTTTATTTAACCTTTTCAACCTAGTTTCAGCCAGCTAGCTGAAACTGGGTTAAAAATGCTAAATAAAATGTGAAAACTTCACGGGATTTAGAACCTCGTCAAGTTTAATCCTTAATTAATCAGCGCTAAACAAAAAAGCTTGGCGTAGATGGTGGTCTTTTACCAAACTTTAGGGATTCTGAATCCTGTGAAGTTTACAATAAACAAACTACACAGAATAAGCAATTATGTGTAGTGGGTTTAGTGGTTATAGCATTAGCCTATAAGGCTTGGATGGGAAACACAGGGTTTGAATCTCAAGCTAGTAAATTTTTTCTACTGTTCAAGGAAATAAAATATGTTGGGATGAGATTCGAACACAGGACCACTTGAATGATTGAAGTCTAGCTTTCTTTGAGCTAACCACTTAGCTAACTATTGCAATCATGTCAGCTTTGAACTTGAAATTATATATTGAACTCCCTGTGATTCACAATCCCGTCGAGTTTAGCCTAATTCTAAACTACATGGGATTGAGAATCCCGTGCAGTTTAGTCGTCTGCTAAACTACACAAGATCCTAAATCCCGTAAAGTTTTAGCAACTTATTTCGCATTTTGACCCAGTTTTAACCATTTGGCTGAAACTAGGTCGAAAATGCTACATAAATCTATCGATTTTTGAAAACAAATCTCAAAAGTGGTTGGTTTTGAAAAATTTTCTTGCATGTTAACCAACAAAAACAGACACAAACATGTACCTAATCACAGATTTTACGGAAAAGACAGAGAAAAAGATAGCACCTCCTACTACTCATTGGACCAAACATAAAGTGGCTATCTTAGAATCGGTTTTCTCTGTATTACCAAATTCAGTCCCTTCTCCCATATTGAATTTTGTTAATGCATTTAGACTTATGATTTTATTTTATTAATTAATGTTTTTTTCCTATGGAAAAGATAAATATTTCAATAATCGTAATAGTTAGTTTACATGTCTTCAAATGTATATGTGTATCTCCTCCCCACATGCATACAAATATTACATGCATAATCATTGAGATGGCCCTAGGAAAAAGTACTATGATCCTAATGCAACTTATACATTCATGTCGCACCATTGGAAATAGGATATCCACGTACTTGTACCACAAACCTAAGCATAGTATAAACATGGTTCTGTAGCGCTTCTAGCAGAAAGCCTTACTTGAACTTTAATGCAATGAAAGAAAAACAAAGGTACATGCACTTTACTAGGAAGATGAATAGGAATTCCACTTCTTCTGGTTTCCATATGTATATATGTAATAATCCATTTTTTTAGATGCGAATCAATTCATTCGGAGGCCCACATGATAACAGGATTGAAATAAATAAATAATAAATAAATAAAATAAAAACTCATCCTAGAAAATCCTAACAAACCTACTAATCCCTCTCCACAAATCTCTCACCTAACTTCTCCTTATCTCCCCACTAAACAAATTCCTCCACTAATCTCTCCCTTTAAACCCCCTTCCAAAATTTGTCTCACGGGAAAAGAGAGAGAGCATATTTGTTCACGGGAGAGAGAGAGAGAGAGAGAGAGAGAGAGAGAGAGAGAAAGAAAAAAAAGAAGAGAGAGAGAGAGAGGAAAGCAACAATTAAAGCTTGAAGATGAGAGGGGAATGATCTTTGCTTGAATTTTTGGTTCAACATTAATTGGCAAGCATTTCTTATCCTTCAACCTTTTTATTTTTCATGATCATCTTATTTTTCATAATCGGCAAGCATTCATTTAACTCTTTTATTAACCGCATTAATTTTTCATAATCGGCAAGCATTCCTTTTAACTCTTTTATTGATCGCATTATTTTTTCATAATCGGCAAACATTCATTTCTTCCTTGGTTTGAAATTTCTTGAAATCTTCTTGAGTATCCTCATTTATGTTCTCATTTCGTAGTACTATATCATTCTCTAGTCCTCTAAGAATTTGTTCTCATTATTATTATGCTCTCTGCACTAGTTAAGTATTTCTTGAGGATCAGACCTGAAACTTTTGGAACTCTGGAGCTCCATTTGAATTATAGTGCATTTGTAGACTCTCCCTGACCATTGTTGATGCCAATAAGGATACCTTGAGGCCTGTTACATGATTAAAACCATAGTCTTAAGAATGTAGGCTAGTATGAGGTGTATGTGTTGGGACTAGAACAAAAGTCGGCGATGGATACATCCCTGAACAAGAAGTCTATGTAGTCACTGTAACGCCCCGCCCCGGAATCCCCGAGTCGGTACACTATTAGATCTGATGGACTGGCCTCACAAACTACCACATGTCTTTTCAGCACGTTTTGTCCTCACTCACGCGCTCCCTGGAAAACTTCTCAGGGGGTCACCCATCCTAGAATTTCTCCAGGCCAAGCACGCTTAACTTTGGAGTTTCTAAGAGTTAGGTTCCCGAAAAGAAGATGCATCTTGGTGGTATGAATATACCAATCAAATCTATCAATACTAATCACATCACCCTCTCAAGGGTTGGGGTATTACAGTCACGAGCCCACCACTTCTGTCTTGTGTTTGTTTTGTGTCTTGGTGTTGGTTTGCTACATGTATAAAGGACTTTCCCTTTCATATTTTTTTTATAGGCTGCAAGTCTTGGCAAGTTTGACTTGGCATATGTAGCTTGCCCAATTTGTGCATGGGAAAAGTTATCTTTGACCAGAAGTAGTATGCATTACTTGTGAACCTCGTCAACTTAAGGAACAAATCATGATCTATTTGAACTATCTGAAGGCTCTTAATTCTAGATTATTTCTTCCCATTCTTTTTGTGTATTTAAGATATATATATATTGAAGTAAGTAAAATATGTTTTCTTTTGGGTATTGAGTCTATTTCCCACGATAGTAGCGGTGATTACTGTGGTAGTTAGGTTCATCATTTGGTCATTGTCATCACCCATTATTTTTCTTTCATGGACCACAGTTTTCCAGATTGAAAAAAAAAACTGCAGATAGGTAGTTACTAAGATTCCACAACTTGTTGCGAAATTGATATCGGCTTTCTAGAAGCTTGTAACATGCTCTTAATGCAAGGTACTAATGAGCATAGATAGCTCACCCTAAAAATGTGGACTAGTGTATGCAAAATTCCCTAGGCTTGGAAGGAGTTGAGATATTGTTTAGATATCAGATTTATTTGCAGAATCTTTATTCACATCTATGGTACACTATAAACTAAGAAGTGAGGGAAATCACATTCCCTAAATATGTCTCTGAGAAATTGGTTAAGCAAGGGGTTTGAATGAGTTAAACGTGCATTTACTAGAACCAAGCAGTAGCATTCTAGTGCCTGCTAACACTTTATGCCAGTTCCATAGACGTATTTAACTACTTAGGAGACATATTTATTTTTAAATGCTCTTGACAATCAATGTTTATGCAGACTAATAGGAATGAGATATGTAATGATTTAGGCTGCTGAACAAACTAGAGGTGGAATCGGAAATTGAGGGTCTTTGACTACAAGTGGAAGTACTGATCAATTTACTTGATCATTTATGTAAATTTCTATATTACGGAATATTGTACCATCAAGTGCCTAAATAGGCAAGACTGGTCTAGTATTGATAATGGAGATCACCGGAAATGTCATGATTAGATTAAAAACCCGGTTTATACATATAGTAATTATGGACAGTCCAAGTAGAACTTGGGCATTCTTTTTTTTCCCATGTTTCTTTCTCCCTTATGATTTATCTCTTTTTCTGCATTGACCATTCACATGAGGCATGTTTGATTTTTATGTCACTCATGTTTGAGGAATCAACCCTAATGCTCTGAGTATTTCTTAGTGGGTGTGTATTGTGTTTGACATGCATGACTTTATAGAAATTTGTTGTTTGATCACCTAGTTGTCATTCAATAGGAAAGACTGTGCATGAAGACGACTCATGTTAAAAATGTGATTTACAAGCGTGCTTTCATAACATGGCTATGCCCTCAATATCGATATCCCGATATGAGGTTTTTCCTTGGCTATTACTATTATAGCATCAACTAGACTGTGCACCCATCTTGATTGGACATGTTCTGGGTCACGGTTATTTTTCATAGTTTTACGAAAGTCGTTCCACGATAACTCTATAGTTAGTGCATAACATTTCATGCACAACCATTTAAATTAAACCAACAAATATGAGGTTTATAAAGGGGAATTGAACGGTTCTTTGTTTTTTCTTAGTAGGACCGAGCGTACCTTGAGGAATCAGATCCAGCGGCAGTGATCACCTTCTATCCTATCATTCTCTCAGCTGTAATGTATTTAGAACTTTTTCCTATAATTACATGTGGTTCTCCAGACTATGATGTATTTTCCTCTTTCCTAATTGGATAGTTGTGTACATATAAGAGAACTCCGTCTTTGTTTAGAGATTTCTTTATCTATCTATTTTTTTGTTATCTCAGTTACATGTTCTATGTAGTAGTTCTTTTGGGCAATATATCTATGTACAAGATGATCCAGAGACGTGAATCAGTGTTTTCAATGCGCGAGGCGCAATGTGGGGCGTAAAGTCAGTTTACGCGCACATGCGTAAGGCGCAATGCGAGGCGCGCGTCCGAGTGAAGCGAGACGCAGTCCGTACCACAAAAATTTTGAGATATACAAAATGAATGAAAAATATATATATTTGTGAATTTCACATAAAATTGTCAATGACTCGAAATATATAAAATATACACTACCAGATCACAAGATAAAGTTTTAATCATTGAAGCAAATCAAGTTGTCCAATAACAAAAAAAAACAAAGCAACTAGAACACTTAAGGAGTTCACTAACATTAAAGCAAAGCAAGCAATCTAATTAAACAAAGCAAATAAGTAGCAAAATAATAGCCTAATGACTCAAATGACTAATCGTCCTCATTAACATCATCATCATCCTCTTCTAAGGGTATATCCTCCTCTTCAGTCTCCTCCTCATCATTAAACTCCTCTTCATCTTCCGACTCAGAAACTGGCTCCCTCCTCGACGATGAACCAATACCACTCAAAGATCCTCGAAACCTACTAGTCGATCTTAGATACATAGCATCATCTTCTTCAGCTCCCATCGCATCTCCTACGACACCATATGTAAGGTTATCCTCGCCCTCCACCAGGTCATTCTCTGCATTTTCACCTTCACCAAACTGCCCTAACAACCACTCATTGCTTTCATCTATATCAGCCAGCTTAATCGGATCAATAGTATCTCTGCAGTCATATCTCTCCTTCAAAGCTTGGTTGTACTTGCAGTAAACTAGATCTTGCAACCTTTTATGATCCAATTTATTCTTCTTGGTGTGTATCTGTAATTTATAATTTTATACAAATCAATCAAATCAATATTCATATCTCTAAGGGAATAAAATATATTTTGTTGAATAAAATAAAACTAATCATACTTGCTCAAAAATACTCCAATTTCTTTCACAGCCAGAGGAGCTACAAGTAAGGCTGAGGACTCTAACAGCAAGCTTCTGCAACTCTGGTGCTGATGCACCATAAGACTCCCACCAATCAGCTGCCAATTTAAATAGACTGTGATTAGTAGTGTATTACTTATAAGAAATCTAGTCAATTAAGGGTTTATATTATGCATATTTACCTGGAGACTTCTTCTTTCTGTTTCTCTTAGCTATCTCCATACCAAAAAGACCTCCAGCATACCTGTATATATCTAACTGTCTATCAACCTTGTCTTGGTCTTGTGTGGGCACCATCTTCTCAATGACTTGATAAAGACCTCTCATAACTTCGTCATCCCCTTGGATGTTTGGATGGTCATTGAAAAATGCAGGATTGAGGTAATATCCTGCAGCATGTAAAGGCCGATGAAGTTGATCCTGCCACCTCTTATCAATAATATCAAATACCTCAGAATATTTTGTTGAATCATCACTAAAGGCTTTAGCAATAACCTCCTTAGCTCTATCCATAGCCTCATAATTATATCTCATAGCAGGCTTCTTATCACCATCAATAAGTTTCAGAACACCAAATAGAGGAGCCGTCAGCTTGAGAATACGAACAATGTTGTTCCAGAAAGATAGTATATGAACTATCCTTTCAGCTGATTCGCCCTTTGAATCTCTTGCTACTTACTTTGTCTCCATGTCTCCAAATTAAATATCTTTCTGAGGTTATTTTTCTGTCGATGGATGATTGACAAAGTCATAAATGATGTGGCAAATTGTGTCACCACTGGTCTAAGAAGCTCTCTGCCATTAGTTTGACCTCTCATCAGCTTCAAAACCCACGCATGTGAGTAGATGAATACAGTCAACTCCATAGCTCGACTCAATGTTAACTTCACAGATGGTAGTTTACCAATATCCTTGAGCATGAGATTAATACAATGAGCAGCACAAGGAGTACAATATAAATGAGGATACTCTTTTTCCTATTCCGCTCCTATAAATAAAAGAATAAAAAAAAGATCAATATCTGAGCATCCTAACATAGCATTAGCAAAGGATTCATAACCAAAATAAAATTAATTGCTTAAAATTTACCTGCATATTTGAGACTAGAATGGTTATCCGTGACGATCTGAACCACATTCTGAGGTCCTATGAGCTTAATCTGCTCGCTAAGTATCTCAAACATTCTATCACCCGTCTTGATCTCATCAGAAGCATCAATAGAGGAAAGAAACATCGTACCATGAGGAGAGTTCACAAGAAAGTTGATCAATGTCCTCCCTTTTCTGTCACTCCAACCATCTAACATGAAAGAACAACCTTTTGTAGCTCACACCTCTTTATGAGGTTGTATCAGATCATCGATGTATTTTTTTCTCCTTCCTAAGCAAAGGTTCTCTCAAATGGTGTAATGTCGGAGGAGACAAGTTAGGCCCAAAAGCCCCTACAGACTTTAACATGATTTTAAAAAATCTAAGACGAGCGGCATTAAAGGGAATGCCAGCTTGATACCACCACCGAGCTATGTCTTGATACACTTTAGCCACTGCATCTTTATTGAGGCTTTCTTCAATACACGATTGCCTCAACTTGTACCTTCTTTCATCCTTGGCGACCTCTAGAGCGAGATCGAATGTAAGAAATGCATCCATCGGCCCCTTCCTCTTTGGGCCTATAGAAGATCCCACACTGTGCAAGCCAACACTCCCTCTTCCTCTTGCCGTTACCGAAGATGACCTAGAAACTGTCGGGCCTTTTCCTCTATCTCTACGTTCTAGTACTTGTTCATCTTATTCCTCCTCATCATCAATTTCCACATGTTCCCATCTCCAAGTTCAGGGAGATATTCATCAATAGCTTGTTGTCTTTTAGCTATCTTTTGCCTTTCTTCATAATCTTTAAGCTCTTCAACCACATCGGGAGGGACTTTTTGACAAAGACTCACATTTTTGCGTTTCCTATCCGTCCTGATTAGATGTTCTTTTTGTCGAGATATGCCGCCATTTGTGATTTTGTTATAAAATATGCACTTATGTTTATTGGCATTTCCTTCGTCAACCAATGAAATATATTTCCATGTAGGATCTTGTCTTCTTTCACTACCCGCTGATGAAGACATATCTACATCAAAACAATGAAAATAGATTTAGTGAATTAAAGTATTAAATATGTACGTTAATTTTCATTCAAGCTTGCATATTATTCAAATTTTCATACTAATATATTGCATCACTAACAATTATTTTGCTAAATTTTATTTTCCTCTTTACAGGTTACAAATGACGAATCAAGTTTCAAATTTCAACTTTCAAGTCAACTAGTAGCACTACACCTAGCTCAAATAGCAAGAATCAGTACTCGCAATCTCGCACAGGAAATCAAATTGTAGCACATTTTTAACAATTATGACTGATATGTATTAATAAGAACGATGTTGTTGCAATTTCATAATTTCATGACTGCGCATTTCAACCGAACTTTAATCAATCAATCAAGTGATCAACCTCATCTTAAGACTCTTAACAGTCAACAGAACTTTAATAGTTACCTAATATTAATTAGCCTATTATTAATCATTAGCCTATTATTAATCAATTAGCCTATTATTAATCAAGTGATCAACATCAATTAATCATTAGCCTATTATTAATCAAAATAGTCCACAAACCAAACTTTAATAATTACCTATTATCAATTAAAAATCAGTTTACTGTAGCAGGTAACAAGAGTCCACAAACCAAACTTTAATAATTACCTATTATCAATTAAAAATCAGTTTACTGTAGCAGGTAACAAGCAAATAAAAAAAGAGTGACAAACATTCACGTGAGAAGAAGAAAAAAGAAAAAAACTGTAGCAGCCAGAAAAGAAAAAAAAAGTGAACCGAAGATAAAGGAGAACGGAAGACCCAAGTCAAAAAAAAGAAGAAAAGGAAGACCAAGTCACCGAAGAAAAGAAAAGGAAAAAAAAGGAAAAAATTACTTGCTGCAGTCTCCTTCTCACTGCCAGCTGCTCGTCGGTAGCTTCTCGTCGCTCTCAGGAAGTCGGCGAACTGGAATCGAAAGGGAGAGACCGAACACGAAGTTGAAAGGGAGAGACAGAACACGAAAACGAAGACCCGAGGAAATGTCGGAGAAGCCAATCACGCTGAAAAACGAACCACGAGCCCAAATTTTTTGTTGTAACAGGTTAGATCTGTTTTGGCCTTTTTGGGTTTAAGCTTGAGTCGGGTTTCTACCCGATAGCCCGCATTTTCTTAAGCCAATCGTGCTGAAAACGGAGTTGATCGCCTTCCCTGCACAAGCGAAGCGCTCTCGGGCGCTCTGGGGCGCGCGCTTGGCGTAAGTGTAGCGCCCCGCACCTCATGCGGGGCGCTATTTCACTGCGCCGCAGCGCCTTGCGCCCGAGGCGAGCGCCCAAGAGCACCTTTAAAAACACTGGCGTGAATGTGACCGTATGGTTGCATTGTCGGCCGAGTCACATCCCAAGTTATTACGTTTTGAAACCGGGGCGTGACAATATACCAGCATTCATCGACAGGTGCTTTGTGAACAAAACTAAACTCAGTGGTATGGTTATATGACCAGTCAACAAAGAAAAAAATATTTGAAGTTAACTATGCACATTCTAAGTTTGTTCTTTCTGTATGTGAATACTAAAATTATCACGTTAAAGATGTGAGTTCTAAACCAATTAAAAAAAAGAAGTACCAATTGTATTGTCAGCTGATTCACAATATCAGTGGAAACATCAAAATAGAAGTGCATCATCTAAAATCCATAATGTTCTATATAATTTGAAGGTTACCATGCAAAGTCCACTTCCTTCATGTCCAGCAGCAAGTAAAACTTTTGGTAATCCTGGGACAGGCGCAATGACAGGCTTACCATCTGGCACTGAAATTAGTGCATATATTTCTTTCATTAGTGAGACAATTATTTTCAGGAAAGGTTGTCAAAGTTTGCTGGCTAATAGAATTGGAGAACATAAAATATTTCAGACTGGTAAAGAGAGCTTAAGGCTTACTGTAAGGTCGGTGGCCTATCCTTATCTGATTTATGTTACGAGATAAAGCTCTTATAGCAGGAAAGAACTCTCCAGCACGATCCAGTATACACCTGATAATAGACTCATCTACTTCTCTATTGAATCCAACGAACTGCCGGCTGCTTCCTGAAAATGCATTCATGTTAATTGTAAAGAGATCTTTTTTCATAAGGGCGAACTCGAGATTTCTGCTAAATCTAGTCAACTGCTTGTTTTTGCACTCAGTGCACTATTAAACATAAATGAGCCATTTGCACAAAGCTTAAAACATAAATGACTGGAAATTGGTAACTGATGCTATCATCCAATATGTTATTGTCAATACTCAATAGCATCATGACCAAATAGTTTGAAACAAATGAATGAACTTAATGAATATGTTGAAACCATAAATTACGGAAACAACTTTCTTGCCACTAGAAAACCTATTCAATTGATGGAAGCAGACTGCTGGTCTGTTTTGCTCAGAATATGTATGCAAAGATCCTCCAATAATTTATTTTAAATATTGCACTGTTATAAATAGGGGTAAATAGCCCCGCAATAGCGACGCTAATAGCGTTAGCGGTTCCTTCCCGCGACGCTATCGCCCGCTACGATATCGCGCAATAACGGTGACATATTGCGGAATGTCTGTTCGCAAAAACGGCCAATAGTGTGTCATAATAGTAAATAGTGAGCGATTGTATTCGAAATTTGCTTTTTGACTGTTATTTAAAAGCGGTTTAAGGCTTTTTTTTTTTAAATTAAACTCAACCATTGATCATTGCATTTCATCTTCTCCTGTGATTTTCAGCATACTCCTGCCACCTCTCATAGCCTCTGACACCTACCTTGATACTTCCTCTCACCTCCTTCACCGTGAGCTCCTCTTAGGGCAGTCATGTCACTGCTAAACTCCTCTTCTCGAAAACGATAACTTTTTAATTCCTCCGGTCATCTTCGGTATTACGTGATGGTTACATGTCTATTTCATGTTTAGGATCTTTTTAAATCATCCAATATGTACTTTTAGATTTCTTAGATTTTTCTTTAATTTTTTTTTTTTAGTATTTATACATATTTAAATTAGACCGCTATTTGACTTTACGTTTTTTACCGCTATTTTGCCGCAATAGCCCGAAATAGCCTTAGTGATGTCTCACCGCTACGCGACGCTATCCGTTATAGATAACCTTGAAATATTGTAGAACATGAGTCTGAACCATGGCGCGATAGAAAGGTTGTTTGCTCGTGACCTGGAGGTGTTCGGGTCTCAGAAACAGTCTCTCTGCATGTGCATGCGAAGGTTAGGCTACGTACATCTAACCTCACCTAGAGCCCACAATAGTGTGAGCCTTGTGCACCGGGGTGCCCTTTATTGTAGACCATGAGTCGTCACTAGGTCTAATGTGTGTGTTGTTTACTAAGTATTCTATATTAGTTGATGAGAATAGAAATCATGTGATTCTCAAATACAACTGTAGAGAGCTTCGGGATGTAAACGACTCAAAAATAATGAGAAAAATTGACCCGCACGATGCCGCAGCATTTGCATGAAAAATGGAAAAAATCCGTTACGCATTTAGATTGTAAATACATTGTATATCTAATCACATAAAAAAACTATAGCAAAAACAACAAAATATAGCAATTAACGACATGTATCAAACAATTGAAATACAATGTGAGTTAAAAATACTCCGGTTGAGAATTTTGTGTCTAGGAGTGATTTTAGAAGTGGATGGGTTCAAAAGTAAATTGAGTCGAGATCTCTAGGCTCTAGAGAAAAAACCATTTTGGAGGTAGATGATTCTAAATAAAATAGGGACAAAACTTAAGTTTTATAGGTGAAAAATCCATCTCCAATACTACAACGTTAGCATGAGGGAAAACCTAAAGAAATGGTTAATTATTGGTTCAAAATATACATCACATTCATAACAACTTAGAGAAAAGTAGAGAAAGGTACAGCATAATCAAAAGGCATTGGATCTAAGAGTGTTTTTTTAAGTGGATGGGTTTTTAAAATAAATAAAGGTAAATTTTTTGGTTTATAGGCAAAATACCACTTTTTAGATTGGATGACGCGACATTAACGTGATAAAAAGAAAAAAAATAGAAAACTGATTAACAATGACTTTGAAAATATAATGTATACCTAAATACTTAGTAAGCAGGTTTTAAAAATATGGAGTAAAACGTTATTTGAAGTATTCAGGTCTCACAGTGATTTTGGATCAGGCAGATTTAAAAATAAATAGGGAGGGGTTGGGAGTTAGGGTTTACAATAGAAAAAAGGTGAATTTAAAACAGTGTAAATTTTGGGTTTATAGGCAAAAGTAAGTGTGCATTTGGTCTGGATAAGGCTCGGATATGATACTTATCATATCCGTATCCGCTTACCCATCAGATATGGATACGGATACGAATACACCTCTGTAAGAAAAATTCCAATGTTAAAAATAACGAAAATGGGTTATGTAACACTTCGCCTCCTATTAAGGGCAAGGTTTTAAATATCGGATGTCGGGTTCATGTCGGATGGCTGAAATCCATATCGGATAACGAAAATCGGGGATATATCGGGGGACATTGACTAAATATCGGATTGCCATATCGGGTAGTGTGCATATGTATAATATCATATCCTAAATATAATCTAAACATTCATAAATTCAATATAAGCATACTTTATAAATTCTATAGACTAAACATATAAAAAAGTAAATAATATATGGATTTGGGTTCATAAATTCTTTCTATCGGGTTCATAAGGAACCCTTAAACATGAGAACGGGTCAAACGGGTTTGGGTATTTATCACTAAATCCAAACCCGATAACAAAAAACAGATCTTAAAAAAAGTACTATATCGGTCGATTTTTCAAAGCTAAATAATAGGACGGTATGCCCGATATGACCCTGATATTTCCGATTTGGCCTTGAAAACCGATATACGAGTTAAAAACGTCCATATCGTGTCGGTCAAGCCCTCAAACCGATATGTCGGCCGACATGTCGGATATGTCGGTCGATATTTAAAACATTGATTAAGGGGTAAGGAAAAAAAGCAAAAAAAACGTAACGAATAACGTAGGTTATATTGTTTGTTAATTATTTAAATATTTTATAAATACTAACTAATATTACAGCATACGCTAGGCAGACTAGGCATTTAAGCCAGCGCCTAGACGCGTAGGCAACACCTAGGCGTTTCGGTACTTTTGAAATTATTTAATTATAATAATTGATAAAAAATATGTATTAAATTCATATAAATTTGTAAAAAAGAAAAAAACATAGCAATCTTAGATCCATAATAAATCATGCATACTTTAATAATAAATAACCAAAATAATAACTAATAAGATTATAAAAAACATTGGGAAGCCTAGGTGGGCAGTCGAAGTACCGCTCAAATGCTAGGAGCTTGTTAGGCGGCCTAGGTACAACCTAAGCGTACGCCTAGGCGGACTAGGATGATGCTTTTTAAAACAACGATACTAACAATTCATAATAACTTTAATACTTAGAATCATCAAACTTTTTAAACATAACACCACAATTATCAAATATAAAAATATAGTATCACAATTTCTTAACAAAAGTTAGTTATACATGACTAACAACCATTCAAAAAGCATCATCAAATGATCAAATACGTTAACATTAACAAGTTTAAGGCAATAAAAACAAGTCTAAACACTTCCACCTCTCGAGTTCTTAGCATCACAAAAATATTCTAACTCCTGATCAAGTTCACTACATCAACTAAACTAAACATAATTATGCAACAATAAGAAATTTTGCATATACAGAGTGTGCAAACTTAATTTCACAAACCCAAGTGTTAACTAAAAACTAAAAACTAAAACCTAATCAAAACTAAGTAATTACTAAAAATAATTATCTAACCAACACAATGAACCCACTAATTAAGCTCGGTACTATAATTCTGTGACAGATGTTAAAAAATTATGTTGAAAGTAAAGTAATGGCGCAACAAGTTTGACATGATTTATGGTAAATTGGCAATATCAAAGGTCAAAATTTGGAAGGTAATTTTAGAATCACTATTTATATAAAGGATATAAACTGAGTTGCCCGATACTTAACTGAAAAATAAAAAATTACCTCACCGGAGTCACATAATCCGCCGATAGCCGGAGGAGTTTCAAAGGAGGCAAAGAGTTAGGGTTGGGGGTTGGAGAAGGCAATGAGATCGCATATTCGCAGGAAGAGTCGTGTAGCGGTGATGCATCGCTAAGGCTATTTGGGGCTATTTTGATAAAATAGCGGTGAAAAACGTAAAGTCAAATAACGACCTAATTTAGATATGTATAAATATTAAAAAATTAAGAAAATCTAAAAGTGCATTTGATGATTTAAAGAGATTCTAAACGTGAAATAAAAATGTAACCGTCCCATAATACCAAAGATAACTGGAGAAGTCAAAGAGTCGTCATCTTCGAGAAGATGAGCTAAGCGATGAGAGGACTGCACTAGAGGAGCTCACGACGAGAGGAGGTGAGAGCAAGTGCTAAGGGAGGTGTTAGAGAGAGGTGTCAGAGGCTATGGGAGGCGGCGGGAGTATGCCTGAAAGCGGGGGAGGTAGTGAGATATAGTTGTTGCTAGTTGGGTTTAACTTTAAAAAAAATAAATCTCAAACCGTTTTTAAATAGCAATAAAAAAGCGGATTTTTTAAATAGCAACTAACTGCTGTGGTGCGCTATTGACCGCTTTTGCAAGCGAAAAACGCATATTCCGCAATATGTCATTGTTATTGGGTGATAGCATAGCGTAGCAGGAAGGGACTGCTAACGCTATTAGCGCCGCTATTGCGGAGCTATTTACCGTTATTTATAACAGTGGATTTAAATGATTTGGACGGTGGAATGTGTCCTAATTAAAGATACAATTTAACCTAAAACACTCATGTTAACTGGTTATATAATATAACGCACATTTAGCACAATATAGCGTGTTTTTTTAGGTTAAACAGTTTCATGTGATACAAAAGAGTTCATTAATATGTTTATTATATCTGAAAAACTAAGATTAGACATCTGGATCATCAAAATTAACCTCAAATATATTAATCTACAGGTTAAAACTATTGCAGCAGTATGACCAATATGTTATCGGATATTTCAGATACGGATCCGGATATATCTGTAACCATATCCTATCAGTTACAGATTTGAGTAACCATATCTATATCTTAACAGATATGGTTACGGATATTTTCTCGGATATGGATACCATTTAGTACCTCTAGGCAAAAATTTATATTATGCCTCATTTCACTATTATATTATCCTATTACAGTTCATGAAATCATTTGGTCTTAAAGAGTTGTTTTAAAAATTGGCGGTCGTAAAGAGTGGTTTTATAAGTTGGAAGCATATGCAAAATGCCCTCTATTGAGATGTGCCTAGCTCCCTACATAACCGTACCCCTAGGTCTTTAAAAAGGATATTTATAGACTTAATATCATAAAACCCCCTTACTTGGGACAATTGTCGAATAACCCCCTTAACTTTGAAAATATCCAAAAAATCCTACTTTAAGTATAGGGGTACCAGAAAATCCCCTTTATCAAGCAAAGGACTTTGAGATTTTATTAGGGGATTTTCTAATAAAATATCAAAGTTAAAGTGGGGTTTCTAATAAAATCTCAAAGTTAAAAGGGATTTTCTGATAAAATATGAATGTTAAATGGGGTTTTCTAATAAGCTCTATGCTTAAAGAGGGGCTTTTCTAATAAGCTCTATACTAGAGAAGGAGTTTTCTAATAATCCCTATGTTTTTGTTGGGGGTGTGGGTGGGGTGTGGGTGGGGTGGGCGTGGGGTGGGGGGTCTAATAAGCTCTATACTTAAGAGTGGGGGTTCTGAAATTTTTTAGGCCAAAGGGGGTTATCCGATAATTGTCCAAAGTTAAGGGGGTTTTCTGATATTTAGTCAATTTTATTTTTCTTTATTATGCAAAAATAAAAAAATTGCGGTAGGCAAGAGTCGAACCTCATATCTACACCGTGATACTTGAAAGCCCCAACGAATTAAGCTATTTGACTTTTGAATAAATTTGGCAAAAGAACTTACTAAATTAAAGAAAAATTACTGTAGCTTAAAAACACAATCTACAATGGTAAACCCAATAGTTTTTTTGTGTGTGACAGGAATGTATGAGATGCAGTTTAACAGAACCATGTAAAGAAACAAAGGTATAATCAAAAGTGAAGGCCAAGAAGTACCCAGAAATGATTACCCAGAAATAATCTTTTCCACTAATAGCATCATTCTGAAGTCTGAGGATATTATGCAAAGAATCAAAGCAGGCGAAGTTCTTCTAAAGTATCTATGTAATGGTACAAAATTAGTGAAATTTTAAGAAACTTCCTAATATTTTATACGACCAGTGTGCATTGGTTAATCAAGAAATGTCCTGTTCAAAAAAATGACCATATAAGAAAAAAGAATGTTAATACTCTAACAGTGCTGTTAATACTCTAACAGTACCCCACATGTTGAGCCCCTTTTTTAAGGGACAAAACCTTGACTACTGCAGCGCTATCATTTTTTAAAATTCGTTTAAATTCATGATCGGTGGGAATTGAACCTATGTTTTCTCTGATACTATGTAAAAGGATCCTGCCACTACACTCAATAAATCATCTTACAATTCACTCTGGCAGAAAATAGATTCATTGTCCATATGAGGTCACCCCACAGGCTACAACCATTGCATCAATTTCACAACCTCAATAGACATAGAACAGAATGCATACTACCAATGCTCAGTATTTTACAACTTGGATGGCTCACTATTTATACAAACAGATATGAAGGCTGGTTTTCCATCCCTCTTGAAACAAGATATATCTGGAAATCAATAACATTTCATTAATGCATGCAACATTTAAAATTCTTCTAAGAAATGATTCCGTATGTATCAATAGCCAATTTAACGTAAAAGTCAGTTATGCATTTTGTTGTGCCCATCTAATGGCGTTACCAGCATCTTCAATCTAATGTTAAATGCTTTTATCGAAAGTAAAAATTAATAATTTTAGATTGAATACAATTGGGTGGATTATCAACTTGAATGACTTCCCTTTATCAATTTGCAGCAATTATTTGGATGTTAAAGTACTCTTTGAGATAATTTCATCTCAAAATTTATACTCACACTGCCAACCACCATATTTAAATTGTGCATGTGTGCAACGTTGGAGAAGGTTAAACAATAAAGGAAAATCCAAGAATAGGGGAATAATATCCATAAAGAGAAGCCAAGGGTTGAAATATATTGACATCAGAAAGATAGCAAACTTCATGGTGGTCACACATTAATACATTCTCATTGCTCTTTAAGCGTATCGTCGACATGAAGATGGAAAATTTTACCTAGAACAAGATTCCCGACCATATCCATTGTGGCAGTCATTGATATAGACAACAAGTCGTCATCAACATCGGAAGGTGATTTAGCAGCTTTATGGCCAAGGTATCCAACCTCCATCAGGCCATGGTTCAGATGAATTCTGTTGAAATTCTCCAGCACCAGAAGATGGCCCTATCAATGCAGAGAGAGAATGAAATAAAAACTTAAGACTATGCAAAATTGTTTGGAGGGAAAAACTTCATTCGATATAAAAACATAACAAATTAGTGATGACATCAAAAATTCATTTATTCAATTTTGATACCACGGAAAACTTGACACTGAAATATGAAAACTCTATGCAGAAAGCAAAACTACTCAGCTAGAAAGATGTATGCGAGTCAAAAGAAACAACCAATATCACTGGTATTAATGATGTTATTGATAGCATGGACATGATCATATAAATAAAATCATCTCCAAATTGTCGCAAAATAATTTTTATCGACCCCTTTTAAACAACACAATTGAACCAAGTAAACAGTATGGTTGAACTATAGCAATTTTCTTATAATAAAACTGTTTAGCAGGATCATCACTGTGAACAAGGTTTATGTTTCCAAATTCTCACAGAAGAATTTTCATAACCCTTAACCTGAACCAAGGAATCAACAAAATAGACTGGTAGACCTTTCGGATTTCTTGTAATTATCGCGGATTATAGTTGATACTTAATCATTCTAACAGAAAGCATACAATCTTTTGACTATTACATAGTCCTTCACAACATCTTGCCAAGAAATGAAGGGATTGGCATTTGGAACAGTGCAGTTTCTCACCAATAACAGAGAAGCTTGCAGTTCCCCGACTATAACAATTAAAATGAGGTACAAATAAATAAAATGCCTGAAAAAGTTCAATCAATTACAAGGAATGATAATTTGTGATGTGGAATTTTTATTCCTTCATTTCAACTTCTCAGATCTCAGATACATGAGTGCAAAGTTAGGAACGGAAAAACCAAATGGGGCCTAAGCATAAAGCACAACTCAGTTACAAAAGGGAGTTGAGGGGACAGGTTAATGCAACATGACACACAAGGACAAATGAGCTGGGTTCTACATGGAATCATGCTACTGTATCTACCCAGCTTATTTTGCATGAGACTCCGCAGGCAACTAGCAATAAAGTGTGTCCGCTCAGCTTATTTTGCATGAAACTCGGCAGGCAACTAGCATTAAAACAAGGTGGGAGAAAGTCAATAGAATATGATTATCTACCTTTTGTAAATGTTATTACGCGTCTGACGTTTTTGATTTAATTGTTATAATCAATACCAGGACATAAACTGGGACGGATAAAACCTGAAACCAAAAACGATTTTGATTGTCACTCAAAAAAGCTGAACAGTAGAAAATCTGGGTGTGACTAAAGATTCGCATCTTGGTAATTGCTGAAAAAGGTTGAACAAATGGTTCTAGGTGTTCACCTGGTGGGGTTTATTTTCTTCCATGTTTACATTATTTCAAGGCATGTGCAGGTGGCGGGTCATTGATGGGTGGGTGGGTGGGGGTTGCTGTCGGA